AACAGCTTGTCGAGGCCAAAGGATGTTTTTGATTTGGCCATATTTAGCCTGAACACGCAAGGTCATCGATCTGACCGAAGCAGAAGAGGCGCCGGCCCGCCTGTAGGAGAAGCAGTGCAGCAGCCAGGTGTACTTTGCAAGACCTTCGGGCGTCCAGGGTTTCAGACTTGCAGCCCCATTCCATGCCTTGGACAGATCGCTTCGAGCTGTACATCGTCTGTGCTCCATCTGATGCTGCACTCCGGCTCGTTTTATCTGAGAGAGCACCGTAGCTTTCAGCAGGGTGGCGGACTGGATGTGAAGCAGCCGGTTCCCACAAGTGACAAGGGCAAGGATTGTGGGCCACTCCGCTTGAAACTCACGCCTACCGCAGGAAACATGGTCTGCTCTCTTCATCAACGGGTGAGAATCCCATCCAAGCCTCCGCACCTGAGTAATTGAAGAAATATGAAAAGTAATATGAACTACTTTGCAGTGCGATGCTTCTGCAAGCTTGTCCGTCAACTGCCTGTGCGGAATTTGGAAAGCAATCCCAGACAGCCGCTGAACCTTGCAAGTCTTGCTTGTTCAACTGCGCGATTTGGCGCCGGCAAGGATAGACCCATCACCGCCAACGGTGCAGCGATGCCTGGCAGACTGCCTCGGCGGGGGGACTGCTAGGGGAAAGGGTTCAACTCTCTTTTGGAGGTTGCCGGAGGGGCCGCCTGATGGTGTTTAGCGGCCTCGCAGCAGGGCTTCAGTTGGAAGAGACTTGGTGTTTTTCGATTCACCTCATGCGTTCAGGATGTTGGAGAACAGCAGCGTTCGCAAATTTTCGCAACTATGTCTTTTATGTACTGGTTTGACTCGTGCTGTGGTCGGTTTAGATGAAGTCGTATAGACATGTTGGTACGTCGAGTTCACGCACGCGGTCTTGCCTCAAATCTGGGGCTTCACGCAGAGTTTTGGTAGGTTGGGCACGTGCTTAGACTCGCAGATGATTGTCATCTTCTTTCTGTTCTGGATCGATCATGCGCATGAAACGTTCTGAACCCCACGTGAACCCTACAGCTGTGTTACATGTCTTTGTCCAGGGAAGCGTCTGACACGCAAGGGAAACGCTGGGTATCCCGCCCGCGCCTGATCTGCTCTCGCAGTGCCGACACGTCCAGCGGAGTCTGGCGGCTTCTAGCCTCTACAGTTGCAGGAAGTGGCAAAGGGGTCTTGTAGCACAGAGCATTCGGCCAGTTGAAAAGTTGACAAGCTAGACTGTCAGACACTGCAAGAGTCGTCCATGCCGAGAGCACCGGTCAGTTCACTATGTGAGAGATGTCACAGGCCCAGGAGAAGACCGAGGATCTGCCTCCCCTGGAAGATGCGGGGGACTCATTCAGAAGCCTGCGACGGTGCGGATGGTCGATGTTTTCATGATACATGTCACTGTGGCTGTTTGCAACGCCCAAAGTCCCTCAAAAGGGCGCAGGGGCGTGAGGTCTCAGCCCACAGCCTGCACTGCTTGCGCCGCCTGCAAAGCGGATTCAAGCTGAGAACTTGAAGCCCTTGAGCCACAGGTGGAGGCGAGCGAAGCGCCCAATTCCGAGGAGGCGGTCAACACGGTCATGAAGATCATGCAGGCGTGGGCATTGGGCCACTTTATCGTTCTCTCTTTTGCTCTCTCTCGCTCTTCCGCTCTCTTAGTTAGTGTTTGTGTCTGTGTGTCTCTCTCTGTGTTTGTTTGCAGCGCGGGATTAGGGAGGAAGGGCGGCTGGTGAATATGCCCAGAGTTGTCGGTTGCTGAGGAGTCCAGGATAGGTCACGGTGTTAAGATGATTTAAGATGCGTCATAAGTCATAGGTGTCAGTTTTGGGTGTGGCTTCAAGCGCAGACTACAGCCGATCCTTGAGGTATTCCCCTCGTCTGACCGGCTCCAGATGAACTGTCAGCACATCCTGACTTCGCTGCTGGGTGAATGAACTTTTTCCTGCAGGCGGCTGTGGGCCTGGCAAGTAAGAGCGAGTTGTTTCGAACTAGCCTGCAGTTCTATTATATGGCTGTTGGTGGAGTGTTCGGAGTGTCGCGCGGCGCGCGGCTGGGACATTGAGGAAGTTTACTGGCTAGTTCCCACTCTGCTGCAGATCTCGGCGGCAACGCCCGCAGGGGAGGTTCGACACTTTCAGCAGAATGCCGAATGCATATTGCTTGAAAAAATACTTTGCATGTACTTTCGCCAGCTGTGCCGCCAGACAGGGTTTTGGAGCTTTGGCTGTAGTGGCCGATTTGGTACTGCGATATCCCAATCGGTCGCCATGTCGCTGGCTCGTCGTCAGGAGCCTGGCCTGTCGGATGGTAGCAGCCAGAGCAGTTACAGCTAATCACATAGTCGTGAGGTCGAGACGTCAGTGCAATGACTTGTGCTTGCTTCTCCTTGTAATGTGTTGCTGCAGCAGTGTCCTATTTGTAGCTTTGTAGCATTATACTACATATACTGTACTGCACAACGGATGCTGCAACCTCTGCTTGCCAGCCTGTCCATTCTAAAGGCGCTGGGAAGAAGGTTTCAGGAGGCTCCAGCACTCCAGGGTTCGGTCTTGAAGGCCCAACCTGCAAATCTCGCACCTCTGTCGTATCAAGTTGTAGATCCATAGCTCAGTACATTGCAAACAACCGGACCGGACAGGCGTCATGACCGACAGCCGGACAGAGCACTTGCGGCAGAGCCAAAAATCGACATTGCTGGAACAGCAAAGAAGGGCCATCTCCAAAGCCTGTGACAGACTGATGAGACCTCGTAGCTCTTCAGGGGCAGGGCCCCACAGCCGCAGCCAACCTCTACAAAAGCAGACAGAACTTTAGATCCTGCAGACAATCACACGGCCTTGCGAACCATGCGCTGAACACCAGTGCGGTCTTGCCCTCAGCTGCTCAGGCAGAAACACGTAGCCCGCAAACGGGGCAAGGACAAGTTAGCAGCCGGTAGTGGCTGGGTCAGGTTCACCCGTCAGATTTCAGTCGGATGTTCGAAGTGCATGCTAGGAGCAGCATCCGGAAAATCCGGGAAGACACCTGGCGGACACACTCTGTATCTTCACGGCTGCCAGCATCCCAGGTCCGGAAATGGCGACTAGCAGCCCGGTCATAACCTTGCAGAAGATTGCAGGACGAGCCTTTCTGTTCTAGAAATGCCGAAGAAGTCACAAGCAGTCTGCTAGCATCACTGCTTCCTAGGAAATGATTGCAGCGGGGTAGGGGGCTAAATGATCGCGAAATGCCACAAACATTTCCAGCCCCCAAGAATGATTGCAAAGGGCCACATGGGTCTTTTTTCAATGTGACGCCTTCGGTGTAAAATGATTGCCATCCTGTTGGGGGTTCCCACGGAAACGATTGCAACGGGTGAGGGCCAAGCCTCCTGAGTGAGACCTGATCTGCTAGCTGCAATAGCTGCTCTTGTCAGAATGTGTAGTTCGGTGAGATAGCTAGTTCGAGACGGATCTGAACAGATGACCATGAACCATCCTTGCTCAAGCAATCTAACTGCACCTGGCAGGAGACTGCATCAAATCAGTGCGGTCGATTGTTCCTCCGGAAAATGAGGAGGAAGCAATCGATGCTCGGCCAATTTCATGCTGATGTTGCAGGACTTTCAGTTTCATTGCAATTGTGCATGTTAGGTCTGAGGGCAATTTGCGGGTTAAGTCCGCTCTTTCGTTTCACATGGTTCAGCTTTTCTGGCCCATGCGCAGCTCCTTCGGTGGGTTCCGTCAATTTCACTTGCTTGCCTAGGATCTTATCGTGAACATATGGTCAACTCTGGCGGCACAGATGTCTCACAGCACCTTGGCACGGGTCTGCGTGGATGTTCCAAGACCTATAGGCCCTACGCTGCCTCGTGGGCACTTGTTTTGTCGGGCAGCGCCTCTGTTGCTCGCTGCGCGGGTCGCGTTTTTTCCAGGTTAGGGAGTGGGTGGGGGGTCGCAATGACGTTTCTGTTTGTAGCCGCCGTCATAACAGAATAGAGCCTCGTGCAGTTCTGACTTAGAACAGTGACTGGTTCCCCGGCTTTCTGTATTGAAATACCTCGCAATTCTAGTTACTAGTTGGGATAGTGTTATTTGTTTGAGGTTTAGGGCTTACAGATGTTTACAGTTTAGGTACACACACACACACAACTCTGCACCACCTTGACCCAAACCACATAAACCCCCAGCCACCCGTTGAACCCTTAACTCTGAGGTCCTAGCGCCTGAAAGTTCCGTGCTTTCAACACAGAAGCTTACGGCTTCGTGAGACCAATCATGCATCCGGAGAGCCCCAACTCACAACATACCCTGATCTCCTGGACCTCAAACGCCTAAACTCAACTTCGTTGCCCTCGGAATGTAAGCTCTCGGAAATGTTTTGTGCCCAGAAATTGCCTTCAAAAAGCACTTCAATACTCAAAGAAACTCTGGAGTTTTTTCGGCCTTCTTCAACTTCACCATGGCACGTAGAATCTGCGTGTTCCCTGGTTGCACATCCAATCCCTCATGCTCACCCTGAAAAACGTGCTGAATCGCACGACCTCCTTCGGCGCTGTTGCCTTGTTTTGCAGTGCCTTCGAATTCAGAGGTGCGGTGCAGAGTCGTGGCATGTCGTGGCTTGCCAACCACCCAATGACTGTTGTGACGACATCAGCGGCCTGAGCCCAATAGAATCAGTATGCTAATTAACGTGCAGCTCCCCCTAAGCGCAGCCCAAAGCCTGTGGGCACAGTTGTCTGAATCTGGAATGGGGGTCTAGCTTGATGCCGCATGTCGCTTGCGTCAAAAGAAAGCCTCCTGTTAGCCTAATCCCGGACCATGTCGGCTGTTTTGAGCCCTCTCAACTCAGTGCTCAAAGTCGCCACAGCAGCCGCGATCCTGCGTTGCCTCCAACACACATTGCAACAGCTTTCTGGCCCAACCTGTGCCCCCATAGCCACAGACCGCAGACTCTGTAGATCGAAAGCTTCGATCCGCCGAGGCCTCAAAGTAGGCAAGTCGATGTCTCTGATGCCGTTGGGCCTCTCGCCTTATCATCTATGGCTTCAGATATGGGCTTTGCGATTTTGACTTCAAGGCTGCAGATCTGAAGTGTTCAGGATGCGAAGCCTCGAAGGTGAGTGTTGAGAGCATGGAATCGTTCAGAGGTGCAGCAGGCTGCTTGCTGTTTCCCTGCATTTCCTGGTCCTCTGAAGCAAGAAATTGTAAAGATGCACAGGGTCTTGTACTTCTCCGGTCCGGATTCGAATGCTTACATCTTGGACGGAGCAGGGCCAAGGCGAAGGATTTATGCAGGGCCTCACATCTTCGGACGACTTGTCGAGTCCGAGGAGTGCTTTTCAATCGATCTGCTTCCAAGCAGCTGGAGCCACAGCTGGCCATTTCTGAGCTTTTCTTGCTGCAGCCTCTTGGTCGCAGTTGGACATGCTTGTATGCCTGCCCTTAACGTCGTGAAGCTGCGAGGTTCCTGGCTGTGGTGAGGGGTTCCTTGAACCCTTTAGCTTACGTTGGCCGAGTCCTGTAAGCTTATAGCTGATGTCTCTGTGACTCCACTCGATTTTCAAGGTTCGGTGTCGAAGGACAGGAACGTTTCGTTGCATTCGCATCGGATATGCTGAGTCCCATGTCAACGTAGCCGCACTGGGGCGGGCGGGTGGGGGGCCATGACGAAACAGTCTCCGAGAACAATCACTGGCCGAAAGTTGAACAAGCCCAGCTTGCAACTCACAACCAGATCCATGCCTTCAACATGACTCGTTTGATTCAGATTTCAGCATTCTGGACTTCCTCGGCTCCCCCATGCAAGAAAACCATTGGATTCACCAGAAATGCCCGAGGCATCAAGGATGCACTCACGGAGCTTGCAGAATTGCCAAATCTCTCCACAACTCAACGAAATACCCCTTTGGCACTTCGGGCCCGTCAGCACAAGCCTGCTTTGTCTTTAGCGAAGGTATGGCATCTCGATGAAGCCGGGCGACCAGGGGCAACCTGGTCCCAGCACGAAAGCTGCGCAACCTGTCTCCAGTCGAGGGGTGCATGCTAATGTGAGAGGGCGCGGTCTATGTTGGGTGTTTCTGGAGACGTCCTTTTTGATGGTGGCGTAGGCGCTGTGGTGATTCCTACGATCCGAAGCAGCTCAACTACAAGCAAAATGTCTTCCTCGAGCGCTGAGGTACGGAGAGATTGCAGCTGCAGTGCATGTGGCCGACAAAGCCATCATACCGAACGTCATCAATGCGGCTCCTTGGTTGAAGAGCCCATCTTGCCCACGTGCCTACTGAGTATAGCATCTTCTTCGAAAGCGTTGCGCTGAGCCAGCACTTCAAAGGACACTGGGTTTCACTTGCAGCTTTCAGTGATCCTCTGTTTGCACGAAAGGCCTCTGTGTGTCTGTGTGTGTGTGTGTGCAAGTGCAACGCCAGAAGTCCGTCTGCGAGTTGAAACCCCGAGGTGCTTCACCGGTTCGGAGAGATGTGCACGCACCTGAGTCAAAGCACCAAGTGTGGGCACCCCCGATTGGGTTTTGGCACCACCTGTCTGCATTTGCGCTTTTTGGTAAACCTAGCCAAAAAGCGCCGAGCCAAGCCAAGCCATTTAGAAGCAGAGACAAACCCTCTGGCACCGGTGCCTATCAGAAACCCTCTGGCGAACAGAAACCTCGTGCACCCCTGTCAAACAGACAACCATATCTAGAATCTAGCAGAAATCCATGGAGTGAAGAGGTTGGGAACCACAAGAAGTGGGGGCATTCAAGAATGCCATACTAATACCCAACTAGGAATGCGTCCAATTGATGCCTCGAAAGCATGAGCTTGAATAGATCTCGTGACCTCCGGGCGCATGGCACAGCACTCATTGCTGATTGCTGACCAACTAAATACTCTGCACTTGAGACCATGACCTCTCGCTGCACGAGGTGCCCAGCATGCGCTGGTCCAGGTGGACTTCGCCCCACTTGGGGAGCTCAAGTGTCTGCGCCCTTAGAGAGTGCTGGAGACCAGGCGAGAGTTTATGGGGTCGGACGAGACCCTGTTGTCCCAAAGTCCCCAGAACCTTGCAAGACGACACCAGGGGTCCCCAGAACCTTGCATGTGAGGCGAGCACCAGCGCTTGGAATTCGTCTCTTCCAGTGTCCAGGCGAAGGAGGCCCACCGGGTGGATTTGCTCCTGAGCTCGCCTAGACGAGATCTCACCAAATTTCGAGAAGAGGTGTTTACGGCTTGAGGCTAAGGGTTGGACATGTTGATTAGGATTTCGAGCGTTGATGGTGCCGAGGCTACAACCTTACTGACTCGCCCCAACTTGCGAAATCAATGACAGAGACGCCCAGATGGCTCCTTCTACTGAGCCGGGAAAGACGGTGAAATCACTGATGCAGAGACGGGGCCGTGCGAGCCTCAGGTCTTTCAGGTGCTCTTGCGGTTCCGGGTCCAACAGGATGCTATGGGCTTGCGCAGCCTTTTGAGATTTGTGCTTGATGGTCTTCTAGCGAGGTGATTGAAGGTTTCAGGGTTCGTGAACACCTTGGACGGCAGCCATTTGACATCCCTGAAGGCAAGAATCACAATTCTCAGCTACACCGCACGGTCATGTAAGGAATCCCTTCGAGATGCCAAGGAAGACACACCTCGTAAGCCGTAGCCCCTCAAGCAAATGCCTCGACACAAGTGCTGAAGGTAAACCGGACCCATTGCCCTCCGAAGGCAAGAAAGTGCTGGCTGTATAGTACGAGACAAAAAGGTTGAATTCTGCATCGGAGTTTCAACTTCCTTGCGAATGAGTTGCGGATGCGGGGCACACTTCGGCTTTCTTGAAGCTGGACTCGGGCACAGAGATTCCAGATGATGTCGACTATCTGAGTTACAGGCCCCGCGAATCCTTAAGTACGCAACTGGTCATTCCAGGTCCGCCGATGGTCCCCGGCGTGGCCGTCACCATTCGGGCAGAGGACTCTGCTCTCGTTCCGGCTGCAACCTGATCATAGGACAACAGACAAGTTAGTTCCGGGCCCGAGACCCAAGAACATCTGTAGGCATGGTTTATGATTGGGTCAGTCACCAGGCCGCATTGCCGCTTGAAGCTGTGGTCCACTAGCACTAACGAATGCTGTGCCGGTGTGAGGATCTTGCATGCAGTCCCGAACGGGACCAACATTGATGGTGCATCACCCCCACACTCAACCTGGTATTCTGAGACGGTTGATGTTCGCGTTCAAGAGCTACAGGGGCTTAAGATTTTTAAGACTGCGCAACAGTGGAATAAGTGTGATGAGATTCAAAGAAGACGAGATCCTCCGCGAAATCGGTCTTTGAGGAGGACAGCCTCAACATCCCAAGTGATGCATTGAAATCAGGCCGGGCGGGTGTTCTTAAGCTTCGAGGCCCAAAGGTCCCGAAGTTTGGGGGTCCCTACGAAGGGACTTCGGGAGCCCAGTTCGGCTGGTCCAATCACGAATCTTGAGCCTGAGTGCTTTCGGGGATTTTCCGTGGGCAGAGAGAACGCTCGTGTCGTTTGTTATTGTCATTGACATGGAGACTTGCGTTTGCACGGAGAGGCTGGACAGGTCGCTCTGCTCCCGGCCAAGCCCCATCGCCACGGCGACCACAGGCACAGGAAAATCTGCAGATTTTCGGGTGATGATAGCTGTAATCAATCGGGCAGGGGATTAGAGAATGCTATGTATGTGACTTATATGATCCTTCTGGAGACGGGAACAGGTGAGATGAAGGCAGTTCGGACATCCGGTTCCGCTCGGCACGAGCTGTCCTTCGCCGACGTGTTCACTGCAAGAATTTTTCGTGAACGAATCCAGTATGGGGAACGGCTGCATGGGATTCAAGTCTGTCGCAGAGCTTTTTTGCAGCCAACGAAGAGATTGTTAGTTTAAATCTAAACCGGCTTCTGAGGTCGGGCCCGGAGGGATTGTTGGAACATGTGTTCAAGCCAAGCTTCTCAGTCAGATGTTGATTATTGCAGAGATGTGGGCACCTGGCCTCGTGTGGTTCTGGACATAGTTTTTTCTTGGAAGCAGCCAGGCCTCCAGATCCTGAAACTGTGCTCACTGTCAAGATCCGCACTGCGAGTTGCGCCCAATGAAAACTGCCATGATTAAAGAGCTCAGCAGCTCCCTGTTCCCCTCCCAAGCATTCCAGAGGCCTGAATTTAATGCGCAGAAAATGTCGATCTTTTTGCTTAAAGTTTTTTCCAAAGCAAGCCACGGAAGCGCCGTCGCCTCGGAGGGACTCAGCCCTGCGGCCCACGGCACACAGAGTCACTTGGTCACAGAGCATGGGGAGCCGGTTGAACGTTGACTAGGTACTCGTGGTGCGGTTCCGTTCCGGAATGGAGTCGTTTAGGCCAGGCTTCGACAGGATGCTGATGCTTGCTTGGAACTGGACGTCCGATTCAAGCACATTGCACTGTTGATGCGTGCAATGCGTGCGCACAAATGATTTCAAAAGCTCATGCTGATGGACTGATGGACCTTTCCTGGTTGCGCACGACTGTATCATTATGCTCATGATGCTGATGATGCTCGCCCTGGGTGGCCCTGCAAGCGCACGTTTGCACCCTGCAAGTGCATGGTTGCAGCTTGCAGCAACGGCCAGAGCGGCTGATGCTGATGATGCTCGCCCTGGGTTGCCCTGCACGCGCACGTTTGCACCCTGCAAGTGCATGTTTGCAGCTTGCAGCAACTGCTGCCGCGAGTGCACATGTTCAGCTTGCAGCAACGGCCAGAGCGGC